AAGAGTGGGGTGGGAGCTGGCACACAATGGAAAAAAAAAATTCTGCAGGAAGAAAAAGGGAAACATGTAGTGATATTTCATTACTATGTGCAAGCAATGCCAGCCCCTTGTCTAAGTTATTAAATTTAATCCAAATGGCAACCTGTGAAGCAGGTATTGTTATCCTTATTTCAGAAAGGGAAGCTGAGGCTCCCAGAGGAGAAGGGACTTGCACAAGATCACAGAGTGAGCAGTGGGGGAAGACAAAGGGGTTCTGCTTGAAACAAGCAAAAGCAGATATACAGCATTCTGAAGAGGAAAAAAAGACTAAACAAAAGAGAGAAAACTACACTGGCACCAATGCACTGGTGGAGCCACAACTGGCTCTGGGGGTTGGTCTGAAAGTCCTTCTGACTAGATTCACAAGACGGGGTAGTGTCAGGGTAGCCCCAGATTGTGTTAGCCCTACAGCCATTCCTTCCCCTGAGCCAGGACCTTGGCTGCCTCATTCAGAGTACCCCTTGCCATCAGCTGGGGGCACTGCATAGCAAAAGAAGCTATGAGGCAGGGAGAAGGAGCCTGTTCTGTTCCCACACAAGCCACAGACAATAAAAAAACTCCAGCCAAGCAGTTCTGCTGACTCCAGGACATGTGCAGCTCACTTATATAGCTGAGCTCAGGTTTAGGCCCCACCTGGAGCTCTGAGTCACATTTTGGGCCCCACCCTCTATAAGAGGAGGGGGTCTGAGAGGAGGAGCCCTCTAGAAACCATGTCTTAGGAGAAACTGAAGAGACTGGGGATGTTCAGGGGGAACGGAGGTGATCAGCTCTCTGAAGGGCTGTCCTGGAGGAGGATGGAGAGCAGATCCATGGGCCCACAGGCAGCTGATTCAGAAGGGCAGATTTTAATTCAATACAAGAACTTCCCAACGGTAACTAAAGACAAAATGGGCCGCCATCAGCTCCTCCTTGGAAGAAGCTATAGGGACAGTTTGCAGGCACGCTGATGACAGGTCCATGGTGGGGGCTCCACTCCCAGCACAGGCACCTGTCCTTGGTTCTAGGAGCATCTCTGTGCTTATGTCCCTAACCTTAGGACGCTGTTGAGTCCTGTCTGACTTCTCTCAAGAGAGTGCTGGTAATTTGGTTTTTATTTTTACATTGAGGAAAAAATTCACAGAGTAGAACAGTGATTTATGTTTTACCACTTATGTAGCTCACTCATGTCTTTCTTACAGTTCCAGCACATTTGCAGCAGTACAAGAGTTTTCCCTGAGAAAGGCATATGCCCTCACACCCTCAATGCCAACAGAAGAGGGTCAGATACCAGGGAGAAAGAAGTTTTGCCCAGATGATCGGGCCTGACAGTCTGTGAAATCACAGCAGAGAGGGAGGACGCAGCCCCCTGCTACCTGGGCCTATATTGCATGCCCAGCATCCATCTTGGAACAGGAAGTTCCAACAGCCCTTGACCTGCTCCTGCTCTGGGCACAGAAGCAATGCCCTCCTCATTTGGAATGTCTGCCTGACCAATATTTCTACAGCCTCAAGGATACTCCTTGGAAAAGATATCCACTTTTGTTTGCCTGGATTTCCTGAGACCCAAGCTCCAGGGGAGTTTAGAAAGGATGGAGGCAGGAGACGGCTGGAATGCCCTGCCCTAACTAGCCACTGCTGGACCTTATTCAGACTTCTGAACAGAGACAGGCATTTAGGTGCTATGACCCCTAATCCCAAGCTTAGAAGTCAGAGCCTGACCCTAGAGTCACCTGCCTCACCAGGGCTTGAGAAAAAGAGATCATTTCTGCCTCCCCTTTGAAGCCAGAGGTGAGTTGGATGGTTCTGTCTTCCCAGAATGGTTATAGTTCTGTCCCTCCTGAGAAACAATGGATGAGGGAAGGGCTGGCCCTTTGTGGATCTCTGAGATGGGGACAGCATGGGCTACCCACTGCTCTCATCTGCATGGCAGAGTCTGTTCCAGTCCCCTCACCCCAGAGAGTGGGTTTTCTTAAGATCATAGAGGGTGGTTCTGGATGGGTAGGAAGCCCCAGGAGGAAGGAACATGGGAAGGTGAAGACAGTAACCTCAGGAGATGCTGCGAGGCTTTTCTGAGTGAACACTTCCAAGCCTGCGGCTGTTCCAGGCTCAGGCACCAAGTCCTGCTGAGAGGCGTCCTGGGTCCTCTGGGACTGCAGGGGAGGCCCAGGGCCAGAGGAAAGGGAAAGAGGGAGGAAGGGAAGGAAAGACAGAGATAGGAAGAGAAGGAGAGAGAGAAAGCAGGAGAGACACACACAGAGAATCCGTAAATAGCCCCGCTTTGTAAGTCCCACATCCTTACGATTTGTGGACTAGGTCAGGAAGGAGCCACTCTGTGGGGTAAGATGCAGAGGGACTGCCCTTCTGAGCCATTTAAAGGAGGGAGGCCCATGGTCAGCTGCCAGCCAGTACTGTGACTTCCCTTGTGGCCTGCCTGCTCTCATTAGGAGTTTTTGAAGCTATAACATTTGGACTCTGATTCCAAGTCTTCCTTGGGTGTTTTCAGCTTAGACTATGGTTTAATCCTGCAGTTTGGATCACAGCCCCTTTTTAAAAAGTTATCTTTCTAACTAAAACCTGGGTTTGGCAAATGGTAACAATTAAAGTTCCCACCATTTTCCCCTTGGCCCAGATGGGGCCCAACAATATACAAGGAAACAACAACCCCGTGACTACCCAGCACTTTCCAGTTGATAAAGTGCTTTTATATTCATTATTTCACTCAACCTTCCCAACAACCCTATGGAGTGGCAATTTTGGTCTCCCTTTAGATGGACTAGGCAGTGAGGCTCAGAGAGGTGAGGTCACTCATCCAAGAACCCAGGGAAGTCTTTGTCTACAGCTCCTCCCAACTCCCAAATCTTCAAGGGCTCTAAATGCCAGTGGGACATCTAAGCCAGTTCTAAGTGGTCTATTGCTCCAATTTGAGCTCCTGGACCTTAATTCTTTCCAGCAGTGGACTATATTTCCTGGGGCTCAGATGATGGTAGTGGAAGAGAACCCACCTTTTATTTTTATTTACTTTTTTATTTTTTAGTTGCTAGCTGGTATGGGGATCTGAACTCGACCTTGGTGTTATAACACTGTGCTCTAACCAACTGAGCTAATCCGCCAGCCTGAGAATTCCCCTTTTAATAAGACCCATCTTCTAGACCCCCCTTTAATAAGACCCAGCAGGTGGGGCAGACCCCCAAGCCAGCCTGCTCTGAGGCTGCCCAAAGCTCCAGTCCCCAGCTCAGTAGGGATCATCCTTCCCTTTTCTTCTGGAGTCTGACCATTTCGGTAGCCTCTACGTCCCACCTCACCCCCAGCCAGGCCGAGACCTAGTCTACATCAGGACTGATCAGAGGCCATTCTGGTCAAGTCTCTCACTAAGGCAGGAGGTGGGGGCAGAAGGGGGTGCTGTTCACTAGGTCATTAGCCCAGACTCTGCAGCCCAATCCAGGGTCTTGGTTGTGCCAGGGGTGGCCACAGAAGCCCTTAGTAGATGCAGAGGTTTGCCCTTCTTCCATGGAATCAGCCTTAAAGGCCTCCAAAGCATTCCTAACTTTGTGAATCACCAGCCAGGAGCTACCACAATAGCTCTCACTGAGCTTATACCTCAGTAGGCAAAGCCCTGTTATCAGGCAAGTCCGGCCATGGGCAGTATTGATTCAATCAAATTCTCTGCTAATGAGATCATGGCTGCATCACAAATTTTCAAAGCATTAGAGGGCAGCACACACATAATTGACTCCACACCTGGTCTTCATTTGGTCTTGCTCCTAGGCAGCTATGATTTAATGGCAAACACAATAGCCTGGGATACAAGAAAAGTAGGTCTGGCTCTACTTCTAACAGCTATGACACTGAACAAGTCCTTCGTATTTCTGGGTCTCAAGGCCCTTATCTGTAAAATGAAAGTTTCCAGGCATGTTCCCAGGGTCCTTCCAACTTTAAAGAAGATCCTGATATGAAGTTAACTTCCTGTGTGGAGGAGTTCTGGAACTCTTGAAATGAAACAATAAGTAAGTCATACTGAGCATCGAGGTACTCTGCTGGTCCTCTAACCTGCATTACCTCATTTGATCGTCACAATGTCCCTATGGAGTAGGTGCTTTTATTATCTCTGCCTAACGGAGGCTCAGAAAGGTTAAGTAACCAGCCCAGAGTCATCCAGCCAGGAGGCAGCAGAGCCAGAATTCAAACCCAGGCAGTGTAAGTATACACCACAATCGGGTTTGAGACCAGTAAGCAACAGCTCTAGAGAGAAAACACCTAAGTATAAACTGGGGTAAATATTGCCATGATTTAGTAAGTGCTAAAAATAATAGCTTCGGTTATAAATACAGAAATTCCCCAAATCCTATCTTCATCTCTTTTTCAATGGAGAAAACACCCCACACTTTGCACTCTGAGAGGCAGGTCATGTGTGATCCTTTTCTGATGCCTCAGGAGCAGGTCTGATTTGCATGGAGCTCTCTGGTGGGCTCCATCTGTGGTTTCACAACAGGCCCAGAAGAGTCTGGTTACTGAATAGAGCTACTGGGATCTCAAAAAATTTAGATTCTAGGGATCTGTCTTCCAAATATCTCTCTCTCTCTTTTTTTTTTTTTTGCAGCTGGCCAGTACAAGGATCCAAACCCTTGACCCTGTGCCTCCAAATATCTGATTCAGTAGGTTTGAGATGGGGCCCTGGGACCTTCATTTCTAACAAGCACCCCCTTTCCCATCATATTCTGGCTGATGGCAGGGGAGTACACCAATGTGTACTACCGTTGGGTCTTCTGAGTTTTTCATGCTTTAAGGTGGTCCTTGGGACCCAGGATTCCAAGATTTAGCAAATTTGTCTCCCTCAGTTTAACTACCACCCTATCCCCACCAGCCCCTACAGCAGCGATGGGGGAAGCATATTCGTGTGGAGGAGGAGTGTAAGTCAGTAGGTAGCAACCCCCCAGTGCCTCTCTACCCAAGGCCCCCATTGAGGGGTTCAGTGTGAGACCTACCTCATTGGCTTTCTCAGGGGTGCCCTTGGGGGAGGGGGAAGCAGGCGAGGAGGGCAGCCTGCGCTCCCGCTCCCAGTCTCGGTCCCGGTGGATCAGTTTGCTATTGGGCTCCTTCAGGGTCCTCTTGAGCTCATTGATACTGGCCTGGTGCTTCAGCAAGACGTCCTCTGGCTTGTCTAAGAACTAGAGATGGATGGAGAGCGCAATGGTGTTAGGGGACAGCTCTGAGTGGGGGGTGCACGGTGCAGGAATGATAGCAATGGTCACCATCACCACCCTCCACCAGCAACATGATCCCCATTTGCTCCTGTCTCACCCTCACAACAGCCCCATGAGCCAAGTGGGGCAAGGACAATCAGCAACAACAGGAGCACACACCAAGGCATGAAGCACTTAAGACTAAAAAGAGGAGACTTCTGGTCAAGCCAGAATTTCTTCTCACCTGCCTGGCGCCCAGGCCTCTAAACACCCAAATCAACCAAATCCCACAAGCCTGGGTGAGTTCCCTTTGATACTGTGAACCCAGCTTTAGTCGGGCATGGAGGTAACTTCCCTCTGGTTACAACCAAGATACAGCAGCCAGCATCAGCCAGAGGGAGGGCTCACTAATCCTGGTCACTGGGCTGCTCTGGCTTACTCGCTGGCCTAGATTCCTTCTGGCTGTGACTTAGGCCACTGTACTCAGCACGATGTCCAGTCTAGGCCCCTTCTGACCCAACATGTGCAATTGCTCAGGCCCTGTAGAGGCTCAGAGTGCAGATAATCCTAAAGCCACAGACATCCAGAAAAATGGGGCCTGCTTCCACACTCAGGACGAGGGACCAGGAAAAGATTGGGTTCAGCCTTTTCTGCTGTCAGTCACTACCTTCCCCAACCACCCAGGATCTTCCAGAAACCTTCTGGGTACTAGCTCACCAATAGCAGACGGGGTGAGACACCACCTAACTCACCAATAGCAGAGAGGGTGAGGCCAGATAGAGAAACTAACCAATAGCAGATAGGGTGAGACATGGCCAGATAGAAAAACTAGGATGCTATGGGGTGTTCTGGAAGATTAGGAGAATTAGAGACCAGTGAGAAGAGAGGTAAGTTCCCAGGCTGGGCACAAAAACTTAGCCAGGTATAGCTGGAGTCATAGGTGTGTCCCCATTAAACCATCAAGTTTGAGCTCAAGCCAGTGCAGCATGACAGAGTAATCTGCCTGGGTCGAGTGAAGACAAGCCTTTGTACAGGAGCTGACAGTGACCTGCCAAAGCTGCTTATCTGCACACTTCTAGGGCAGAGCAGGTGGGCTGGCAGCCCAAGGATGCTTACCTACAAGGCTGTTTGAGGATTCACATTAACTCAACTCAGGACAAGAAATGGACAATCTCACCTTACTAAAGTCAAATCAGATGATTCTGGAAAAACCACCTGGAAGGTAAGCTTATCCTTGGACAAAGGTTCACATTAACTCAACTCAGGACAAGAAATGGACAATCTCACCTTATTAAAGTCAAATCAGATGATTCTGGAAAAACCACCTGGAAGGTAAGCTTATCCTTGGACAAAGCTAGAATCTTCTCCTGGGCTCATCTATGGTATCCAAGGATCCACTATGGTTGACTCCTAAGCTACCTCAGGATGGAAACTGATCCCATGGAAGCTTCTGCTTTCCCTCTACACATCTGTCTGTACCTCCAGCATCCCTTCCTGGGCTGAGCTGTCTTCAGGACAACACCTGTCTGAGAAGTCAGACCTAATGGAGTTTGCACAGGGGGTGGGTTTGGGCTGCAAAGGGTAGTAAGTCCCACTCCGAGATGTAGCTTGTGATCTTCCATCCCAACCTGCCCTGCTGGCTCTGTGGGCATGTAGTGCCCCTGAAGGCAACAGGGAGTAGTGGGACCCTGGGATCTTTGAAGGTTAAGGGCCTTGGAGAAATCTAGTCTGAATGTTTTACCATGCAGATGAGGGACTGGGGCCCAAGAGGACTTTTCCAAGACCTTCAAAGAGTCAGTGGCACAAATGGGTTGAAACTCAGATCTTGGGACTCCAAGGCCAAGCCCTTCCCATGTCCCAGCCTCTGGCCCTTTCCCTTAGTAGCCCCAGGATAACCCACTTCTCTTGTAGTTAAGGCTCATCTGAAGAGTTGGAGACTGTGTGGAAGGGAAGAAGGAATAAGTTGAGGGAAGCAGCAAATGGGAGGAGGAAGAGGAAAGGAGGAGAAAAGGAGAGCAGGTTTTTCCTGATGGAGCTGGAGCAGCAGCAGGCCCTGCCCGGGAGGGAGCTGGAACTGGATTCTGGGCAGACGCAAATGTGCTCTGAGCGCTCCCCCCACCCCACCCCTACCCCCACTCCCACATCTGGTTGCCAATAGATACAAAAGGAATCTTGGGGTGAGGACACAGGGGACACAGATGGGATGGAGGCATCACCAAATAGTGCTGTGGCGGAGGAGATGAGTCTAAGCAAGGGTTTGGGTGGGGGATGGGAGGGGGGAGATGAGCTAAATGAAAGCACAGAATGGCCTGGAAGGACTGGTGGACGCAGGTGGGATGGTCAGCACGTGAGAAGCAAGCATGGAGAACCAGGTGGTCAGGAGAGGCAGAGTGTGAGGCTGGGTAGAGGGGGAGTGGGGGTGAGGAGGGCTGGGGGCTAGAGTCTGAGCAGGGAGCTGGAGAGATGAATTTAACAAGGACAGGGGGAAGGGGAGAAAAGGTGACTGGGGAAAGGGATGACAGGGAAGCAGGTGGCCAGGGAACAGAGATGAAGCTGAAGCTGCGATGGGGCCAGGAATATGAGCCTGGAATGGAGTGTGGGATGGTGACAAACGAGCTGGGATTTGAATGGCTGGGTAGGGAGGGACAAACCCCATGCAGTACCTCCTGCTTGTGTCTCGGCGTGGTTTCCTGCTCCAGCTAGCGGGATGTGGTAGGAGGGAAAGGAACCAGCAGGGTCAGTAGAGCAAACAGATTAGAGATACCGCAATTGGCCTGGCCTGGCAAAGTAGCCCGGGGCACTCACACCAACAAACAGCAGAGGCCAAGGAAGTCAGGTGGGCCAACAGTAATGCAGACCACTGGTTGGGCAGTGAGGGAGTCAGGGGAAGGTACAGAGAGGGAAGCAGGGAGCTGTCCCAGGAAGACAAGAAGAGGGTTGGAGTACTGGAAGCCAAGGGGACACAGCCCCACCTGGTGGACGGGATGTGAGTATGTCCAGGGCTTCATGCTTCTCGCTGTCAATGGGGTTGAACTCAGGGGCCTGTGCTCACAAGGTGGAACTGCATGATGGGAAAAAAGCTGCTCAACAAAGATACCAAAAGGAAGCCACTCCTGGCCTATGTGTGCACATGCCTGTGCGTGTGTATATGTTATCTGCACGTCTGTGTGCAGGAATCTAAGGGGGGAGGGGTGTATATGTCTGTGAGTGAATGCACATGAGGCTGAGGTTGCGCATCTCTGCAGAAGCATATACACATATGTACTGGGAGTGTGTGCATGCATCTAAGTGGGGGTGGGGCAGCAGGAAGGGGACACACTTGTACCTCTGTGAGGGCCCTTGGTGACACCTGCTCATGCTCTGAGGAGGAAGCAGCAGTACACACCCAGTTCATAGTTAAAGGGGCAAATCAGGAGTGAGCAAGAGGATACCTAAGTCCCCTAAGGGACAGAGCAGGCCCACTGGGAAGCCAGGGCAAAAGGAGGGGAAGCATACAGGGCGGGAAGCAGGCCCACTGCCCACCCCCACTCCCACCCCACCCCTAGGATGTCCAGGTATTGAGCATGACCCAAGGGCTAGGCCCTGTCCTTGGTGGACCCCATAGCAAGGGTGCTTGGCCACATCTGGGGGCATGTAAAGGCCACACCTTGGATCAGCCTCCTGATCCCCAGGGCAGAGGATATGAGAAAGCCAGGTTCCTACCTTCAGCTCCTTGATCTTGGTGGGGGTCCTGACCTCTCCCTCCTCGGCCTCTGACCGCCGCCCCCCAGACTCGCCATCCTCCTCCCGCTTGTCACCATCAGGCCCTGCATCGTGGTTCTCACTGACTGAGGCTGGGCGGGAGAACTCTGCTGAAGTGGGCAGAGATGGCCATGTGACCACGTGAGACATCTCCCAGTGGACAAGGAGCCAGCCTCGCCACTACCCAACTGTGCCTGGAGCAGAGTCGACTCTTCCACACCCCCAACCTGTCACCCAGAGGAGTGGAGTGGCCATCCCCAGGTTACATGGCCAGCAACTGGCAGAGCTGCTTCCCAGCCCAGGACTAGAGCCTGGGTTCAAATCTCAAATCCATCTCTTCTTGGCTCTGTGACCTTGGGTAAGTTACACAATCTCTGTGCTCCTTAGTTTCTTCATCTACAAGCATTACCTACTTCAGAAAGCTAAGGTGAGGAACAGATAAGCTAATGTGTATGAGTATTTAGAAGAGTAGCTGGAGCAGAGTAAGCTTCCAGCCAAAGCTGGCCCGTTACATTGCCGTTTTTGCTGAGGTGGTTGTGGTAGAATACTTGATTGATCATTACTTAGCAATGCACAGATATTGTGAGATTAGCTTTTACTAGTGAAAGCTAAAGTCCTAACATTTGCAAATGATTTACCTTATTTATAAATTAGGGAAAATTCAAAGGCATCCCTGCAATAACATCTTTCTCACTCACTGGCATTCCAAAATACTTTTGTGAATAGGAAACAAAAGGGTGGAATCATAGACTTCACACCAGGCATTGGGCATAACCCAACTACGCCCATGGATTGTGTCTTGGTAGAAAACACTGAATTAAAATAACCAGAGCACAGATTATCCTTGAGGTTGGCCTAGATTTTAAAAAGGGAATAATTATCCTTTCTATTTATATATATTCACTTCACAAAGTACCCACGTGTGCATATTATTTCACATAATTCACACAATATTGTGTTGATGGCTAGAATGGAAATTACTATTCCCATTTTACAGAGGATAAACTGAGACCTCAAAAGGGGAAAGGTCCTCTTGGGAAAAGGGGAAAGGTCACCTTTAGGTGAGTCAGGCCCATGATCTAGACCTCCTGACTTAAAGTACAGGCTTCTGCTCCTTCCCTGATGAGCTTCACCAGCTCTGGAATAACCTGTGCTGCTCCTCCAAATTTGGGCTTCATTTAGCCCCTAGCACAGTAATGGAAGCTACAGGGGAGGGACAGAGGATGGTACAGAGCCTCTTTTCCCTTTGCATCATACTCAATTCTCAGCCCTATGTCTACTCAAGGAGAATAAGGTGCTTCCTCAGCCCCAAATGGACAACTGAAGAACTGTACATCCTTCAAACTTTGACAGGAGTCCTGAGACAGGTCTCTTATACCCCCTAAAAGTATAAGACTCTCTTGATCACCTGGCAAACTCCTCAGAATCCTTCAAAACCTTGCCCCAGTTGTAACCCTCTTTGCAAAGCCCTTTCCACCCTTCTTAGAATTAATTCCTCTCTTCTGCATTCTGTATGGGCTTCTCCCATTGCTTGAATGACATTCAATGCTTACAAACCTACTATTCTATGAGCTCCTCAAAGGAAAGGGTCATACTTATTCACTCTACATACTGTACCCAGGATCTAACACAAGGCCTGGCACATGCATAACACTCACAACATATATGTTAAGTGTTCTTGTTGATGCTAAGGACGCCTGGCAATCCAACAGAAATGGGAGTAGTGGAGAGCTCCATGTGGTTAGATTGTCAATCAGCCCAGAGCCGAATGGAATCAAAGGAATGACCAGAAACAACACTCCAGCCTCCAAGCAGATAAGGCATCACCAGTTCTACACTGCAGTCACAAGATATCATTCTCCTGGTATTGTTAAGCTTCTTGGACAGGGGGCCCAGAAAATCATATGGCTGAACCTGGGACTTCAAAAGGCCATGACTCAGGGAAGTCACAGGAAGTACGGTAAGTGGCAGTGTCACATCCCCAGTGCCAGTGAGCTATAGGTTGGAGCTAACCACCTGGAGCTGCCCAGGTGCAGAAGTGATCACAGCAGCAGTACCTGGTGCAGATGAACTTGTGATGTGTCTCCAACTTCACTGTTCACCCTGCAGAACTTGGCATGTCTACTCCCCTATTTCCCTCCTAAAGACCACTCTTCCCCCACCCCTCCAATTTGGGCCATACCTCCATCAAGGCTGCGGGACATGGTGTACCGTTTGCTGGAAGAACGTTCAAAGAAGGGTGCAGGCCGGTCAATGAGAGCACTGGCCTGGCGGGTCTGTGCCTGGGTCCTCCCACTATACCGGAACTTGGAGCCCATCACCAGGAAGCCCTTGGGTGGGGGCTCAGGGGACACCAGCCTGTGGTGGAGGGATGGAGGTGAGGAGCGGAGATCAGAACTGCATTGCCAGGCCCAAGGTTAGACCACAGCTGGTCTGTCATCACAGTGCCCCACCAACTACAACAACTCAAAATGGTCCAGAAAGGAAGAGACTTGTGGGGAGGTGGGGGGCTTCCTTAGGGTCTCCACCAACTCCTACTGCTCTTCTCTGTATACATGGCCTCTGCATCATCCTCCACCACCCCATACCAGGGTCAGGCTCACCGGAAGAACGTGTGATGCTCGATGCAGACCTTCCACAGTCTCTTGGCCGACCGGTGGTTTGGGAGCTTAAAGCCAATTGTGCTCTCAAACTGCTCATACTGGAAAACCAAAAAGGGAGGGTTAGAGGCAGGGTCTGGGCCTATTCTTGCCCCCAGTCCATCTTTTCTGAACCTCTTCTGGGGCATATGCGACTTTGCCCTGTTCATTCATTGAATCAAAAAGTTGATTGAGCCCTTACTCTGTGACAGGTACAGTGCTAAGCACTAGAGACACCATGGAGACCAAGATGGGGAGTGGGAGGGCTGAGATAATAAATAAGTAAACAAGATAAGTGCAGATACTGATAAGGGCTGTGAGGGAAATGAAAGATGTGTGACAGAACTACTGCACACAGGGGAGGTCACTGGTACCTTAGAAAGGATGATCAGGGGATGCCCTCTAGACAGGTGGTCTTGAGCTGAGACCTGAAGGATAGGGAAGGAACCAACTACGTTGGGGGTGGGAGCAGGGGGAGACTTTCAGGTAGAGGGAACATCAAATGCAAAGGGCCTGGGGTGGAAAAGAGCTTGACTTATTCAAGGAACTCAAAGAAGCCAAAACAGTGGAGAGTCATGGGCGTGGGCCAGTGTGGTGAGAGACAGGAGGGAGAGATACTGGCTACAGAAGGAGTCTGGACTTCAGCCCAAGAGTTAGAGAGCTCCTGAAAGGTTTAAGCAAGGAGTGTGGGAGTGTGGGTAGAGTAGTGGTGTGGGTTTGACATGGTCTGATTTAAGGGACTTTTAAGTTCTCTTTAGCAGCTCTGAGGAAAATGTCCTGGAGCGACAATGAAGGCAGGGAGACCAGTGAGAAGGACCTTGCAGAGACATAGGCGAGAGATGGTGGCTGCAGGTGGCTGGGTTAGTGAAGAGGGAGAGAAGCAGATGGATTCACATTTATTCTAGAGGTACAACCAAATGGACTTTTTGATGGGTGAGATGTGGAGGTTGAAGGAAAAGAGGTGTGGATGTATACATGTTTGTGTGTGTGTGGGTGGTTATGTAATCATGCATCTATGTACATCTTAGTATGTGTACATATTTGAGTACTAGGCATAAGCAAACACACATACACAGACATATATTCATTTATCTGTGCAACCTGAATATATGTAGTTACCCTTCTATTTGTGCTCTCGTGTGTGTGTATATATATGTGTGTGTGTGTTTGCAAGCACATACCTAAGGTGTGAAGTCTATGTACAGAGCCACAGAAGAACCTACCCAGAACCCCAGCACTCCCATCTGTGTATCCTGGGTAGAAAAAAACCCAGGCTAGGCTCTGTGCCCCATCAATATGTATAATCAATAAAAATAAAAAATAAGAGGTCTTAAAATATCACATCAAATATGCTTTGTGTTTTGCAAAAAAATAATAATAATAATAATCCAGGCTGCCAAAGTCCACTCCATTCTAGACAATTCCAGTGAGGAGGAGAGGTTCCCAAGGCAGGCTCACCTCCCCAGGCCGGATCTTGATGTAGAAGTTACTCCTCTTGTAGGATATCTTGAGAATCTTGGGCCAGGCAAAGCGGTTGATTCTCAGCCGGTCCCGGTAGATGAGCAGACCATTGGCACAGACCCCTAACATGATGTCAATGCCCTCAGAGTCCTGCATGAGAAGGGATCATGGAATGGGAGGCCTGGGGTCTTTGCCTGGGGGCAGTCTGCTACCCTCCACCTAAACACCTGCCTGAGCTCTGCTTGCAATGAGTTCTCAGGAGCAGGATTAGAGCCTCCACACTGGAGTCCCACTGACCAATCTCTCACATGGTCATTCAGTCATTCACTCATTCATTGAGTTATTTATTCACTCACTCACTTGTTCCATCATTTGCTTAATCACTCAATCATTCATTTACCTAGCAAACATTTAGTGATATATACTTGGTGCCGGGCCATGTGCTACATGCTAGAGATTCAGAAATAAACCTGTCTTTCCCTCATGATGCTCCCAGTCTCGTGGTGGCACAACAGGTTAAAAAAGAAACATAATACAAGGAAAAATGACAAAGACCATGGGAAAGTAAAAGGTTATGGAACTTCGAGGAATGGGAATAGAAAAGGTTTCAAGTTGGAGGTAACACAGAGTCTGGCACAGCAAGGCCTCTGATAGTTAGATGGGGACACCACCCAGATGATAGGAGAACCCTGGGACTTGGTGGTACCTTGGCATGGTGCAGATCTACTCCATACATGGAAAGCTTCTTGGCATTCTCTAGGAAGTGGATTTCTGCTTCTCCTGGGGTCATGCCCCTGAGGGAAAGAGAGTGATCACAGATAGCTGTGAGAAAGGCCCAGGCCTGAATCCTGCTGGCTGAAGGTGGCCATCATCAGAACCATGATTCCAGGAATGCAAATGTGCTGGAGAGGGTGTGTGGCTGAGCCTCACCCGAGTCCCTTCCCTCTGTCCTCAGGTCAGGACAGTGCACCTCCAGTCCCCACTTCAGTCCACTCGACCCCCATCTTCTGCCAAAGCTCAGGTCCAGTCCCGTTTCCTCAGGAAGCATTCAAGGGCTAAGCTGGGAGTCAGCATTTTTGCCTTATTCTGCCACTGAGTTAAGAGTGAGCTATAAATTCTGCTTCTCCATGAGCGTGAAACCATTGTTGATGACTTTGTTCAATATAATCATCCAGGGGCTTCTAACTTATTGCCAACATAAGATATTTCTCTCAGAATTTAATATCAGAAGCCACTTAATCTCCCCTGAGGAACAGGTACACATTCTCCTTTTTGAAAAGAAGATTTACGTAATTAATCAAGTCCCTTCTTTGCTTTGGCTGCCAGGAAACTTTAGCTACATCTTACATTTTTAGCCATAGCAAACTATGTGCCAGTTACTGTCCAAGCATTTTACGTGTCTTAACTCATTGAATCCTCATAACAACTCTATAAGGTAGGTATTATTATTCCCATTTTACAGATGAGGAAATGGCACAGAGAGGTTGAATAACTTGCCCAAGAGCACACTGCTATTAGTAGAAGAGTCAGGATGCAAATCCAGACAATATGGCTCCAGAGTTTGTGCACCTAACCACTTCACTACATCTGTCTCTTATATCCTCTGGCAGTTTCCTCTGCCCTGTCTACCTCTGAGCTGCTGTGCAGGACCTGGATACTAGATGTTAATGTACTTAAGTCCAAAGAGCTACAGGGACAGTCATTAGTATTTCTCCAGTCCATATTGATCTGAATGTTTTTCTCTGAATTTTTGTGACTTTTGCAAATCCCTCGGACATCTTCTTACCTAGGACAGAGATGATAAATAGACGGCAGACAGGCCAATATGCCCTATTCCTATGCCCAGGTAGACACTGCTAACCAGTGTAGAGTATGTTTCCTGCTCAACACAATACCTCAGCAGTCACTGTATGTGAGGCTCTGGGAGACTGCATTTGCTACCCTTGACCTAGCATTCATCACTCCCCAGCAGGATCTTCCCCACTATCCCTCCATATCTGGCCCTAGGACTCCTCTCCAGATGCAGCCCACAGGATACAACCCTCCCATCACAACCCTGGACTTAATACCCAAAGCACATCCAGCTTAAGAGGACCCTAGAGATTACTTCATTCCAAGTATTCCCCCCCGCCAGGGGGTAGTATAATTTGTACAGCAGGCATTTGGAAATGGCAAAGAGAGGCATTTTGGTTGTTACAATGACTGACACGGTGCTGTGAGTATTTAATGCCCAGGGCCCAGGGATGTTAAACATCCCACACAATGCATTCTCCTTCCCCAAATACCAATAGTTGAGAAACTCTGATAATCTAACTCGGTGCATACAAAGGTGAAAAATGGGGCTCAGGTAAGTTAAATAATCAGCCTACGTCACAGATCCAGTTAATTATCTTCTAATTCCTGGAACAAGGTGCTTCTGCTGCAAAATCAACTATTCAACTTTTCTATTCAGAGAGCAGCTCTAACAGCCTGCACGCAGTGTGTCTTTAATATGTGCAACTTAGTCCTCCCAACCACCCTATAAGATGGGTTTAATAGCACCCACATTGAACAGATGAGGAAACCAAAGCATAGGGATGTGAAATGACCTGCCCAAGATACCTTGGTTAGAAAGTGACAGAGCCAGTGCTGGCCTGTGGCTCACTTGAGAGAGTGTGGTGCTGACAACACCAAGTAAAGGGTTAAGATCCCGGGCCGGCCCGGTGGCGCACTGCTACAGTGCGCCGCTTGGGAGCATGGCGGCGCTCCCGCCGAGGGTTCGGATCCCACACACAGACCGGCCGCTCACTGGCTGAGCGAGGTGCGGGCGCAACACCGAGG